TGAGCAGGGAGCCCGATGCGGGACTCGATCCCGGGACTCCAGGATCATGACCTGAGCCGAAGGCAGTCGCTTAACCAGCTGAGCCACCCAGGTGCCCCTGATGAGGAAAGAAGTTTAATCTTAGGACTAAAATGTAAGACATTTGTGTTGTTCATCAATTTTGTTTCTTCTCTGTCATTGCCATTTTAATACATGATGATTTTGAAAACCTTAATATTCTAAACTGAAATAAGAGGGGGCGCCTGGGTGGCTCAGTCGTTAAGCGTCTGCCTTCGGCTCAGGTCATGATCCCGGAGTCCTGGGATCGGGTCCCGCATCGGGCTCCCTGCTCCTTGGGAGCCTGCTTCTCCCTCTGCCTCTCTCTCTCCCTCTCTCTCTCCCTCTCTCTCCATCTCTCATGAATTAAAAAAAAAAAAAAAAAAATCTTTAAACTGAAATAAGAGTATTGGAAATAATTCCAATAAAATAAATAAATAAATAAATAAATATAAAATAAAATAAAATGTTTAAATTCTTAAACTTTGAGTAAGTACCTGGAGAAAAATTCGTATCTTGATGGGGATAAACTAAAGCAGTAAATGATGCACTACCCTCTCAATTTATAAAAATGATATTGATGTAGACTGGCTACTACACAAAAATACAGAAGCAGTATTTTCTTAGATCAAGAATGATATTCCACTTAGACAAAAATATTCCAAACAATTTTGTTCAACACCACAGTTTCTGAAAAACATTATTTTATTTTAAAGATTTTATATATTTATTTGTCAGAGAGAGAGGGCGTGCACAAGCAGGGGGCTCAATCCCAGGACCCTGGGATCATGACCTGAGCCCAAGGCAGATGCTTAACCAACTGAGCCGCCCAGGTGTCCCAGAATTTAAACATTTTAGATGATAATTGTAATAGATAATTCCCGTAGCATCTTATAAAAGTATATAGAATATACCTTTTCTTATGGTATAGTTTAAAGCATACTGGCTTTGGATTCAGGCACAACTGGGTTCTAGTTCTGGCCCTTCTAGTTGTGATATGACTGTGATCAAAATAGTAAACCTCTCTGGCCTCTGTTCTCCATCTGAAAAGTGGGAATAATATTATTGATACTTTCAGGGATTGTTGTAAGGATTAGAAATGAAGAGTTATACTAAAAGATACCTAGAACAAAGGAACCTAAGGAAAGATTGCTGTCATTATTATCATATATATTTTATCTGCGTTTATATTGTCTTCCCCTATATTATAGATTGATGCCCTAAGGTGTTAATAAGAATTTGTGCTTTGGTGGGCCTCTGCCTCTTTAACCAAATGGTCCTAGACTGCTGTTTGCATGTTTTGGATCAGAACTGCATTTGTAGGGACTTTTACTAGTTAATGAAGTCCATGGACTTGATTGCATGGATTTCATGACTGCCCATGTCTACCCAAAGACCTATTTTGATTCTTGATTCTTGGCTGCATTCTGAAGAGGTAAGGTTATTGTATAGTTAACAAATGGGCAAGATTTTCCTATACTTCATGGAGTCACAGTTATTCTGAAGGTCTGTAATTCACCCCCAAAATCTGAGCATCTATGATGAATGCTATTAGGCATTATAATACCAACTCTCTTTAAGTTAAATTTATAGGAGTGATGGAAATGAAAGGAGAAGTTACCAATTTAGTTTAAGTATCCATTTTGAAATTAATATTTTCACACAGGTCATATTTAAGGTGTGTGAATTGCAGTAGTTTCATGGTTTTAAATACCACTTGTCCATTCATGGCTTCCAAATTTATATCTTCAGCTAGGTCTCACCCCAAAACTTCACACTCATATATCCAACTGCTTACCTCACATTTCTGCTTGGACCTCTTCAAAGCAACTCTTGATTCTCTATGCTGCCCGCCATCCTACGCTCCAAATGTACTGCTCCCACAGTCTTTCTCATCTCGTTAAATGGCAGCTCCGTCCTTTCATTTGCCCAGACCAAAAACCTCGAAGTCATCCCTGACCCTTCCCTTTCACACTTAATCTGTCATTCCGTCAATAAATCCTGTTGGCTTTATCATTAACAGACTTCCCAAAACTGAAGCTTTTCATCACCCTGCCGAAGCCAGCGTCAGCTTGGACTTCTGTGATCACTTTCTGGTGGTCTTATTTCTGC